CTAGTTTGCCTGCATTCAGGCAACGGCTCATCCCTGTGGACTTTGTATGTCATTTTGTCGTTGGTAATAATTGCTGTAATCACATGCATTTTTAAGAGTACAGTATATTTCTTCTTTTAAAAATTAATCTGGAGCCAGGCACAGTGACTCATGCCTTTAAATCCAGAACTCTGGAATCAGAGGCGAGCCTATCTTTGTGAGTTCAAGGCCAGCCTGGTTGATAAAACAAGTTCCAGATAAGCCAAGGCTACACTGTGAGAGACCCTGTCCCAAAGGAACAATAATAAACCCAAGAGCAAATGTCGTTGTAGGCGCCTCTAATCCCAAAACTCAGGTGGATAGGTGAAGATTGTGAGTTCAAGGCCAACCTGGACAACATAGAGAAGTCTGGGCAAGCAAGAACCTGTCTCAAAAGAAATAGCAATAACAAAACTCATCTATTGTGAGGATTCTAGGTAGAGATAACTGCAGTATAATTCTGATATATGTTGCCTGGGAACAGGTGTGATGTTGTGATTTAGCTGCAAGAGCTTTACATTTCCTTTCTCTGTGTGCGTGGGATGTATGCGTGCGTGTGTGTGCATGAATGCTCTGTGTATGTTAGTGCTATATGCATGTACCACAGCAGACATGTGGACTCGGAGAACAACCTTGGAAGTTGGCCCTCAATTTCCACCTTGTCTGAGACAAGGTTGTTTTTTTTTTCCTTCCTTGTCTCCTGTGTGAGCTAAGCTAGCCCCGAGCCTCTGGATTCTCTTGTCTGTGTCTCCCATCTCACTGGAAACTGGCCAGCCTTGTGTGGGCTCTGCGGCTGGAACTTGGGCCCTTTCGCTTGTCCTACCGAGCCCCCATCTCCCTGTCCCTAGCTGGGGTTTTGTCCACGTGACACTGTTATATTTCAGTGGATATCATTGTCAAAGACACACAAATGCAACTCAAAGTATGACTAAAGTGACAAATTTCTGCTTAGAAAATTTTTTTTAAGTTTTTTTTATCAGTGTGAGCATGCCTCCTGAGAAACGCCAGTGTCGATAACCCCAAATTTCCCCTCTCCCCTCTGAGCTTTGGCAGCCATTTGTAAGCTCGTACCTCCTAAGGCTCCCTCATCTTTCCCTCCTGGCAAAACAAAACACAAAACAAGAACAACAACAACAAAAACCCTACAAAAATGGTCATACAAAAATCACAAAAGTCTACCTTTGTTTAAACAGAGAAGCTGTGTCATAGGAAGCTGTCTGCATTTAAAAAAGTTTCCCTTAAATATGTACGTTTCCTTTTGGAAGAAATCTCCATTTTAGCTTACAAGCTATTTGATGAAAATTTTATTTATGTCATTTTGCAGGATATTTTTTTTCTCTCTGTTTTTGTCATTAAGTATTCTTAATCATTAAAGGCATGCTCTACCATGTCTGGCTTTGCTTTTGGCTTTTTGAGACAAGGCTTAAAACTCTGTAGTCTACATGACCTGGAATTCACTCCATAGCTGAGGCTAGTATTGAATTCAATGTATTCCTCCTACCTCAGCCTCTCAAGTCCTAGGTTACAGGTGTGTGACACCATGACTCACTACCTCATCTATAATGTCAATCTATAATGAAGCTGAATGGTTTATTATCCATGGACTTCTGAGAGATAAGTGTAAGAAAATGACATCCGTGTCATAAGCGCTGGCCCTTCTGGACGTCATGCTTTGGTTTGGTTGTGTTATCATGTTTCACACACCCCCTACTATAAATACGTGAGGAAAGGCGTCTGGGGTCATTTCCAACACAGGCTGCAGAGATCTAACACATCTTCAGTTCTCTCAATTGTCTCCTAAACATCCATTTTGCTTGCTTGTTCTTAGTTCCCAATTACTGATGGCTCTTAACTGGCCCGTTTTTACTGCTCGCCGCTCTCATGAGGTGCAGGTGGCCCCGTTCTGTTGCTTGTTACGGTGGGCATTATTTTACAGTACTACTTAAGCCTCTTGGCCTTTCTGCTCTAAAGCCGAGGAGCAGAACAGAGCGGCAGGTTTCCCTGGCCACTCTAACTCACTGCCGAGAGTGGCATGCAAGACTCGGCCACTTGGCCGCAACCGGCTGATGGTGGGTGTTGAAACTTCATAAGCTATTTGTTTGTCAGTCTTTTTAAAATTTATCTTTTATTTACATGTATGTGTATATTTACATGTGTCCCTGTGTGTGTGTGTGTGTGTGTGTGTGTGTTAAGGATATTCCCACAGAGACTGGGAGAGGGAGTCAGATCTCCTAAAGCTAGAGATACAGGCGGTTGTGAGCCATCTAACTTGGGTGCCGAGAATCAAACTCGGGTCGTCTGGAAGAGCGGCAAGTGATCTGAATCGCCGAGCCATCTCTCCAACCCCAGGAACTACTTTCGACCCTCTTTGCCTGAGAGTGGCAGGTCTCTGGGCCTAGAAAACTCATCTCTAGTCTACTCTTCTCATCACTGTCCCGCACCTGAGGCCTGACTCTGAAGCCTCCTGGAAGAGGAGAGACAGAGCCGTTTCCAAGGTGACTTTGTCAAGGCGTGGGACAAGTTCAAAACGTACCAAGGTGGGGACCATTCCTTTTCAGATCTCTCTGAAATCCCCAGGTGGGGGCCACTGCCTCACACCCTTGGCAGTGCTTCAGGGTGCCTGTGAAGCCATCCTTGGGAGTCACACCTTATTATCAAAGTTATGGTAGCTATTAGCTAAGAATTCGACCCGAGGGCAGGATTACAGAATTTTTCAGAAGGAAGTGTGAAAACGAGAAAGGCGGAATTATTTTGTAGAGACGGAGGCGTCAACATTTATCCCGTATTAAGGCAAGTGCACCGCATTGACAGACTGCCGTTCCTCACCCTCGGCAAATGCGGCCCAAATGACAAGAGAAACAAGAAACCCAAACTATCACACCAACTGAACTCCTGCACATGCCTTGGGGCTCCGTGGAATTCAGAAAGGAAGGCGTCTTTCTTCCAGGCTCCAGCCAGGTGTCTGTGAGGGAGAGCTGGTCTTTGGACTGAGGGCTGAGATGCCTTTTCTCTTCAAGGGCAGTGACTACATCAAAAAAAATGCCGGGGACGCATGATGTGTGACAGTGTTTTCAAAGAAAGGTCAAATGGCAATGCCAAATATCAACATAGAAGCATCCTATTTCTTTCAAATATCCCCATCACAACTTCCCTGAATGTGCCCAAATTTACAAAAAAATAAAAAAATAAAAAACAACAACAACAACAAAAAAAACCAAAAACAGTTTTCTAAGGGGATGTTAATTGTACCAGGCACCACTGAATTTGTGTAGCTTACACTGGAGGTCGGTGCATATAAAACAATAAACGGGACCAAGTCTCCTAAACTTAAGCCAGAATGTAGTTAGTCTATTGTTTCAGACCACTGATTGCTTGTGCTGGAAACGTGAATGAGAATGTGTATGTTTACACGTATTAGATATTTACATCAGGAGGCCCCTATCACCGCCAGTCCAGACACATCTTGCTCTGGAGATTATAGCCTTTATTCCAAGATTTCGCTTGAAAGGGTATCTTTAAATGTACATAGCTCCAATCTTTAGGAGAAAATTAAAGAGAATTCCAGTCTGTATTGTCTATCCTTTCTTTCTGCCTCCCTTTTCAGGTTAGCAGTTTATTTCTGCATTAATCACCCTGACAGAAGCAAGGCAACTCAATTTTCTGCTTCTGTAGGTAGGCACATCACTTTCCGTACAACACTAGGCATGAAAGGGGCTGCAGCTAAGCTTTGGTTACTGGTGTAATTGAAATGCTATCCACACTATAGGGTGCATTAAAGTCAGATAACGGCAGTTCCTGTGGCCAATTTAAGTAGCTTGACTTCCCTGGGAAAAAAAAAATTGCCTGACAGATAAGGCAGACAAACTGGCTAATTCTCCAAGCATGTCTCTCATTGTGATCCTAGAAAAATGAGAAAAAAATGAATCACAGAACCACAAAATCAATTGACCCTCGGGTAGCTCATCAGGCGGGGAGCCTGATAAACCTAAAAGCTTTGTTAATGTCTGCCTGCCTGTATCCCACAGATAGAGCACTTTGTAAATGAACCTGCTTTGATAAATATATTAAGGAAAGCTGTGAATAAAGCCAGAGACTTCTCATTTGTAAATACAACCTCTGCTACATGGAATTAGAATGATAAAGTGGAGTTCCATGTAATTAAGTTTGTATAAGGCCTGAAATCCGTGCAAATACTTCCCCTGAATTTTGAAAGAGAACTGTCAGTTCAATTAATCTGAACATCACCCCAAGAATGTACAGAACAAAATTAAGCCGCTGATAAAACCTGGACCAGTATTTTGATAAGTAATTCCTATATCATTTCTTGGCCACTGTGATCATTTTATTTAATCCCCATACCCCTCCTCTTTCTGCGGTTACTCTCTAAGCCATGTACAAAGACTGGCTGGCCCATATACCACCATGCAAGTAATTTAAATCACAAGCTAAAAATGAAAAAAAAAACAAACAAACCTTTTCTTCCATTAAAGAAAAACTAGGGTAAACAAATACCTAAGAGCAGATACAAGACAAAACAAAACAAGCCCCCAAATCCCATACCCCTGCATCTACATTGTTCCTCAGAGTCCAGACAAAAGGAATCTTCCCAGAGGAAGTGACTGTGTGTGAGCATTGTGCAAAAAACACACAGACAGCAATATCGAACAGGACCCAGCCAGGCAGACTTTGTGATTCAGCTGGAGAATTTGAAAACGTCAGAGGTGAGAAAAGTGAGTGTAGAGGAGAAGAAAAAGAAAAGAAAGAGTGGGAAAGAAGAAGAAATCCTACAAACCCTACTTGTCTAGGCTTCCTGTCCTTCACCCTGGACATGTACTTCATACCTCAAGAAAGAAATGCAGACATTACCTTTGATTTCCTTTGTTCCAGGAACAACAAAACAAAACAAAAACAAAAACAAAAAAAACCCCAATTATCTCGAAATCCCGCTTTAGTCAAGGGAGGAAGATCTTGGGGTCACTCACCAGTTGTTAACTTGGAGAATTGTCAGTCCTGTGTCTTGCGCTAACTGTTTCTTCTGCTCTTCGGAAGGGTACGGGTGCTGTTGAAAAGACAAATGTTTTAAGATGCATCAGAAGTTGGGAAAGAGGCACACACTTCTCAGCAAGAAACCACCCCTGGTGCATTTTTTATTCTACGGCTTGATTCTCCTCGCCACATGGAAAAATATATTGAACTTGCTGACAAGTGTGGACTGGAGGCAGTTGGGGACAACCCCAACTTCCTGCCACACTCCAGAGGACCAGCCATGAAAATCCAGGTACCTCAGTCACACAGAGTGACTTTGATCCTTCGAGGTGGAAGGTATGTTGGAATAGCATCCAAATTCTGGGTGTTTCTATGCCTGTCTGTCGTGTGTAGGGGATTGCAGATCCATTTCCTTCACTCGCTAGCGGGTTACATGGAATTCAAATTCTATGCCATCTTGAGAGACTGATCTACATAACTGTTATTTCTTAGTTGATATGAGGCTAGCTACATTTGGACCATGAGCCAATATGTAATCACAATTATATTGAAAAGCCAAGGCAAATGATTAGATGCAGAGTCCTTTGTGGGGATGGGTTGGGATTCTTTAGTTTTTACTGCTTAGTTCTCTGGGCTATCAAGGTCACATACATGACCTGCCTAGGCTACATGTCCCTCACCCTAGGCACAAATTTCACAGCTCAGGGAAGAAGGAGTCAGTTATATGCCATGCTTCCTGTGGAATTATTTTTTTAATTTTATGATTTATTTATCTTTTATTTTATTTGCATTGGTGTGAAGGTGTCAGGTCCCCTGGAACTGGATTTTCAGACAGTTGTGAGCTGCCATGTGGGTGCTGGGAATTGAACCCGGGTCCTCTGGAAGAGCAGTCAGTGCTCTTAACCACTGAGCCATCTCTCCAGCCCCCCTATGGAATTTTTCCATGTTAACGTCAAGTCCAGCAACAAGAGAACAAAGCAGTAGATTTCGGTTTGGAATTCTTCCATTCCTCCACCGTCCACTCACGCTGACAATGACCAGCCCTCCCATTATCCTCCTCTCCATTTTTCTCTCTCATCTTGAAACCCAGGATTGTTATTTTACAGTCACACATTTCCTTCAAGAAGCTTCTGCGCTGGAGGGCACGTCGTTACATAAGGTCCTGTTCAGAATCCACTGGCTTTCTTAAACACGAAGGTAAACTTTTGTCCCCACGTCACGGTTCTTCATAGGCCAGAAAGCCTTGAGTTGTGATCTCACCCATATCACTGAAGTGTCATTAAGGGCCTGGGAAGGCGGTTCAGCACTAAGGAGCCTCCTACTTCTTTTGCAGAGGACCCGAGTTCAGTTCCCAGAACCCAAGTTGGGCCTTTCACAGCTGACCGTATTCCAGCTGTCGGGGGTGTGGGGGGCCTCGGCCCTTCGGGGCACACTGCCCCCCCCCCCCCCCGACACACAACTGAGTAATCTAAACAAGGCTTTCGAGTGTTCTAATCATCCCAGCATTGGAGGGGCAGGATGCCTTTCAGTCAGCTAAGAATTCAGTTCCCAGGTATTCCACCTTCTACAATAGCTTGCATTCTCCAAGACGTGCACGGTTGTTTATCCAAGAACCCACAAGCCACCAGGTTCAACAAAATCCCCTGCATAGCCAAAGGGTTAACTAGATCTGTATTAATATAGAAGCCAGGCTTTTAATATTCTGCAAATGTTAACAAAGAAAGATGATAATGTTGAGTTAATATGGGTTAAGCATAAAATGAAAATAAATTTTTCTGATTGCGAGGTGTTGACACTTTTTTGGCTAGGGCCTGCAGCCTGTTCCTTAAAGCTGTGTAATTACAGAAGGCTTTGCCCCTCCTTCCCCCTCCTGCTCGAGCCTCCCCACATTAGTAATGACCCCTTCACTGCTTCAAAAACCACTAATGGTCTTCAGCACAGGCAAGAAAAATGAACAGGGTAAATTGGAATCCACAGTCAGTAATTTGCATCCTATGAGGCTGCTTCGGCCACTCACACTCATTCCTGGCCATCAATCGCTGCCTGTCAGGTACTGCACTCTGCCTCCGTGACAAATACTCCTCCTAACACTCCGATTCGTCCAAACAATGCAATTGTCCTCTATTCTCCATTTGGTAATGGAGAAAATGAATGGCTCACAAACAGGGATTGTTCATCAGAGGCGCGGAGGTGCCTTCAAGCCGGAGGAGACCTAGAGTACACATTTTAATTGACTGAAAAAACTGGTTGGGGAGCAAATGACAATTTTTGAAAAATCTTCTTTGTCGAGGTATTTCCTGCCCAAATTCAAGGCGGTGGTCCCCTTTTGAGTTTCTGAAATTTGAAAGTCTAGGTTTATAGGTTGTCAGCCCAGGGGGAGAAATCGTGCAAACAGCCAGAATCAAAATGAAAATAAAGATGCATTCCCCCAAATGTATAGAAGGGGGCTGGAAACATAATGTGCCTTGGGGTGCTGCTTCTTTATTCAATCTCTCTCTCTTGCTCTCTCTTCCCCACCATGTGCCGTGTGTGTGTGTTGCTTTCTTCATTTGTCCAGAAAAGTTCTGACAAGCGTGAAGTGTGTGTGTGTGTGTGTGTGTGTGTGTGTGTGAGAGAGAGAGAGAGAGAGAGAGAGAGAGAGAGAGAGAGTTTAGATTACTGCAGAGTCAATTCCTTCAAGTTTGATTGTAAATTCTGATTGAATAACAAGAATGCTTTCTAGTGGCTTATTAGAAATGTAGTCAAATGATTAGAAAATTTTTACAAACAGTGTATTTTATCTTGGGAATCCCTTATTATACTTTCTCTATTTCATAAGCAGTTTCAAATTCCATCCAGAATCATTAAAAACATTGGTACCTTACCAAAATTCACCTTGCACAGATGGCTTTTTTTTTAATTAATAGGGAAGAGTAGAATAAGTTTTAAGTTCTTTGAGTGCCACCCTGTGGGTTTTGAGCACTGCAGATCCATGGATCCATGCCCTTTTTATACATGGGGTGGACTGCTGATCTGTGAGTGCCCTGGCAGTCAGCCACTGGATTTCTAAAATTAAAAGAGTGATTGAGAACAATCAGCTTTCAGAGGGATTGGAACGTGACAATGTGTTTCGGATTAATTTACACGTATATGTTCAGATTTAAGGGCAAACCACGGAACTAAAGGACTTCTCTCCTCCCTGATCTATCGTGTGCATGCTTTATTGGGACAGACATCATGCTGAAATAATAAACAGGGGAAGCCTTGGCTCCTTCTTTGATGTATATTGCTAAATGTCTGACCGGCTGAAATTTAAAATAAACTTTGGTATGTTTGCACTTGGAAACTGGAAGTGGACCACAAGCAATAATTTGTAGTCAATCTCCATGTTCTTGGTCTAAGGCTATAGTTTTGACTGTTCACTGTTGGGGGCCAACTCTCTGGGGTCCTCTGGCCCAGAGTCACCTCAGCTTCCTCCTAAGAGCACACAGTGTCACACAAGAGCAATGATGATGAGCCCCTTCACAGTAAAGCACTAAAGGTTAAGGATTTCCACATCTCAAAAGGATCCCAAGGCCACTGGTGAACAAAAACACGTCCTTTAAGGTCCTCTTACTTGGAATATCAGCTAGCAAAGGTTGGGAAAGTGAAAAGGGCATGCATAGCTCGTGATTCAACAAAATAGAAAATGTTCTTTAATTTTGTCCTGTGTTTAAAACCCACATGAAAGCAAGATGTCTTTATTCAAGCCACAACAGGCCTCCTCTCCTTCTTCTTAGAGTAGACCAAGTACATGGTACTCGATAGGTCAAGTGCATGGACCTGGAGGAGCTACATCCTTCCATGACAGCCCTGGGGCATTTGGGTAAAAAAAGCACTTAATAATGTAGACCCTCTCCACCAATGTCCAAACTAGCACTGGTTGATCATGAATTCCATTCTGTAGTGCAAAAATGTATGCTGATATTGTAAAATTTTAAATGATGTTTCAAATCGCCCCACAAACTAGAAGCGCACAGTGAGGAAAAGGGAGCTGTTTTTTTTTTGTTTGTTTGTTTTGTTTTGTTTTGTTTTTTGCAAGATTAAAACACTGTAAGTCACCTACACATCTATCAACTGGATAAAAGTGGAATGAAATGTGATTGTTTTTTCTAAGCCAGCAGTGGGAGAGAGCGGGGTGGTTGGGGTGGGGTGGGAGTGTGGTGATTCATTTCTTTAAAGGAGGCACATGCAGGTGGTTCTCTGTGAGCTTGAGGCCAGCCTGGGCTACATAGGGAGTTCCATGCAAAGGCTACATAATTTGTCAAATTACTTGTGTAAAGCAATAGAAAAATGGTTAAGTTGCTTATTGGGAAGGATGTTAGTTGGGATGAATTCCTGTTACCATGGGGACAATGACTTCCCCCTTCACCCTACCATACTCACTTGGCAGATTTAACCCAGGTTACTTTGTTATTTTTCTTTTAAATCAAACGCATGTCTGTTCCTTCTTTAAGATTTTATCTTGAATTGTGTGTGTGTGTATTGTATGTGTGTGTGCACGCCAGGGACTGTCTGTCTGTACATGTGAGTTCAGTTGCTCTTGCTCTTGGAGGTCAGAGGCATTGGATTCTCTTTAGATCTGGAGTTACAGGGAGTTGTGAGTTGCTGAATGTGGATGCTGGAGACCAAACTCGGGTCCTCTGAAAGAATTGTCTGTGCTGTCTGCCTCTGAGCCATCTTCACACCAATGTGATCTTGTTTGCTTTTTATGTTAGTTACATTTGAACCCTGAAAGTCATTTTCCCAATGTGAACAAAGAACCGGCTTTGGGAAGACATCCTTTAGCGATCTTGGACCACACTCCCTGGGTAAAAAGGTCTTAGCCCTTGCGTAAATAAATTCATCTATGAATGAAAGTTCGAGTTGAATCAATTGTCATTCATTTTATCAACTTTTTCTTATGTGGACAACAACTCCTATACCATGAATAGAACACACTTCTCATCAGCTTTTAAAAAGAAACGGGAAACAATAACACAAACCACACTTTAAAGCACCCCTTCCCTGTCTTTGTTTCTCAAGGTAATATTTTCCCCCACTAAATTTCCAAAG